CATTTTTAGAAAACTCATCATTAAATTTTGAATCCAAATAGGTATTGCATGCAAGATTTGGATCAAAATTGAATTTCCTATAGTTTTTCAAAGTTATACTAAATTAAAATGATTTAATTGACCTAAATTTTATTTTACTAAACTAGCTACTAACTCAACTACCATTAATGTGTGCATGGTCCAATTGGGTGAGGCTTAAAATGATAGAGTCCACTATACAAATTAGGATCAACATGAGTCATCTCTAATCTAAGATTGGACATAGTATATTAAAATGGCTAAAACCTACATGATTAAATGAAATTCCATCGAATAAATTTAGGGCCATTAAAATAAATAGATCTGGATGAATGTCCTTGATTTTATCTCCCACCTCCAACTTAAAACCTAGCCTTCCATAGGAAATCATCTGAACTAGAAAACATACTTGCAAAAACCCTATCTTATTATGACTTCTACATGCTTAATTACTTGCCTACTTATTTTAAGATTAAAATTTAAATCTTGTAAATTAAATCCAAACTAAGAGAATTATCTTAGTTTTCAAAAGATAAATTCTCCTAAATCTTGTTGATTGTCACGGTCAACACTAATACTTTTTGGGAACCAAAAGTGGTCACCAAACCTATTTGGGGTCTATTTGTTGAACTCATTTTTGTATGAGGCAAAGAACACTTTATATATCCACATCATATTCAAATCAACACTGCCTTAGTATAGGTTTAACCTAGAGAATCTCTAAAAGGTAACCCAAGGACCTAGTCTTAGCTAACCTTAGCTAGTTCATACCTTTAAGGGACCTTTTGATAACACTAGAAAACTTCATTAATTGACTGCATAATATTCCTAAACCTAAAATCTAAATCAAACCTAAATGTAACAATGTTTCACTCAAATTACCTATAATGCCACTTATTGGTTACACTTGACCAAGCCCATGTCCATAAAATTGTGGATCAGCCAAACCCTTCCAAGACCCTTCATAAAGTAATTTGATCCATCCTTGATCATTGAATTCTTTGGGTTGACCATCTTTGAAAATTTTACAAAGTTACCCAACATTTCTTAAATTTAAAAAAATGAGAATCTTGGTTAACATAACCATCCTATACTTTTCCATCAAACCTCAAAACTTCCTAAACACTTCCTTGAACACTTATAAACCTATGTGAGCCCTTGATCCACCAGGGTTTACCATGGCTAACTAAGTCAACCATGTTTGTTCCACTTGACCTATACACCCTTTTCAATGTCCAAAATAATTATAAACCTTGGTATGGTGTTATAAACCATTGATACACTTCCTTGAACTAACCCAAGCTTATTGGAACCCTTTGCCCACCATAGTTCACCTTATTTTACCAAGTCAACTATGAATGGCTTAGGTGATACATACACCCTTAATATGCCTTCAAACTCAATGTTCATCAAACCTTTGACTAAACCCATCCCAACAATAAGATTATTTCCCAAACAACCACCCTAGCCAACCCTAGCCTTAGGCTAGCATGGTTTACCTAATTGGGCTAACCCAAGTTATCCTAAAGGGGTCAAAACTCAAATTAAATTCACCAAAACTAAATCAATGATGCCCATATAACCCAATCTACCTTAAACTTCCCTAAACCCATTATAGAGCGGTTGAGCCCAAGTTAGCCACAGACTAACCAAAAAATTCAAAACATTGATCCCATCTGCATCGAATCATGACCATCTAATCAATTCAACTTGCCTCAATCCTCTATCCTCCTCTGGACACCTTCTTGCACTCCAATGAATGAATTTGAATTAGCTAAACTAACTAGTATGGCCTTGGATGACTAAAATTTCATCTATGTAAATTTCCAATTCTTATTAAGCACTCCCAATTTTCATGAGGCTATGTTTCTATAATAAATTCTCCAAGCTTCCTATGAGAAAGAATAATTAATCCACTTTAAATTTCCTACCTCCTAGAGCCTCATTATTTGAATTTGAGTTAGCTCTAGTGAGGCCTTGATGCTAAAAAAGAATTTTTATGATATGATGTCTCCTAGTGGTTGCATATTGAAGAAGAAGTGTCTTTGCAACCAAATGAATCTAACACAAGAAAAATCCCAACCAATTCACCAAAATATCTAGTAATTTCCAAACCTAGGCTCATTCAATATGGGGTTTGGGACATTGTAAAGAGAATTGTTAGTCTATGGAACTCTATATGTTAGATTTGTCATTCTCTTCACATAGATCCTACTATATCAATTTGATTGGGTTTTATCGATTTGAAGGCATGTATCAAACCATATTGTACAATTTTCTATAACGGAATGTGAGAGCTTAAAGATGAAATCATGGCCATTCGTTCTTTCAAAATCCATAGAATGATCTTAATTTTATCCTATGCAATTATATATGTTAGTTCATAGTTTTGATGTTTTTAATCATTGCCATTTTATTTCAGATCGAATAGTTAGGATTTATGTTGATATGTCACTATGGTCTATGGTTTTCAATTAGCCAATCAACTTCCACCATGTGGAAGGTGCACGCATTCAACACCTGATAATATAAATGATTTAATTCATGAATTTAATTTCATTTAGTAGCTAACTATATAAATTGTTTAATTCATGAATTTAAATCCATTTAAATACCAAAACTTAAAAATTTTATTTCTATCGATCTAATGATCCAATTGCTATCATTAGACCCTTAATGAATTTGTTTTGATGAGCCTTGTCCATTAAATTTATTTGAAGGGCAAGATCAATAGTTTATTTTTGTACATAACTAATATAGTATATTTACTATTTAGCAGAATTTACTAACTTAAAAACCTTTGATGATCTTCAAATTTTGTATTAGGACATCTTAGAGCATGCATCATTAATTTTTCTCAGACCAATTTGAATCCTTTTATGACCTTAATAGAATTTTGAATTTTCTAGGTAATATTTTGACCTAGAAATTCAAATTTTCTTAACTATAAATCCATAGAGAATTAGGTTGTGTAATTTGTGTGGCTTGTGTGCATGTGTAAAAGTGTTAGAGCCAATAATTTAGCATATTGCCTCTTTCTAGTTTGAACTAATTAAATCCTTAAATGTCTAGGGCTAGAATTATATAAAATAGTAGAATGATATAAGTGATCCCAAATTTTAACATCAAGTTTCTAAGGTCCTTAAGAATTTGTGCATTTAATTCCAAAAGCATTTGAGTTCATTTAGTAATTATATAAAAATAGTATAATGACATAAATGATCCCAAAATTTTATGTAAACTTTCGAAGGTCCTTAAAAATTTGTGGATTTATTTTCAAAAGCATTTGAGTTCATTTAGTCATTTAATTAGCAAACCCTAAACACAATCTTTTACCGTTCGTTTTGTGTGGGGTCCTCTACGGATGGAAAAGGCTGTGATGAATGATGTTTCTTGTTCCTATTCCATTCCTTTTCTTAGAATCTTATTAGGTTATTTTGCACTCGTGCTTAGTGGGGATCACCTGCTCTTGGGTTTTTTTTTGCTTTTTTTTTAATAACTAATTTGGGTTAATGGCTTTATTTTGAGCATTACCGAGCTAGAAAACCCATTTAAGGACTTGTAACCCCTTTTTTATATTAACGCGTAGGCCTCTTTTTGTAGGTTTTAACCAAAAAAAAAAAGAAAATCTAAAAAAATAATAAATAAATAAATATTGAAAATCCTAAAAATATAAACTAAATTGTATATTATAAATAATAAAATGGTTAATGAAGAGAATTTTTTTTTAAATACCTAATTTTATTTTTTGAACATTAATAAAACTTGTATAAAAATAAATCATTAAAAAAAAGCCATTGACCCAAATGGTCCCAAATTTTCAGAGATTTCATATTAGGTTATCACTGACCTATGTCAAAGGTTTTATGATGATTTGAGGCCATTTAGTACTATAAATAACAAAACTTAATTCCCTTAATATTAACCTTTAATTAAAAAGGTCAACTTTGAAATTTTATATATAATTCACTAATAATTATAAAAATTTAAATTCAATTGTTATACACTATGAATAAACATAAAAAATAACATAAAAATAAATTTTTTTCAAATTCTAATTTTTAAAGCCAAAGTAAAACTTTGGTCAACCATAAGTTTAGCCCTTAATAAATTTAAAATTTAATAAAACACCAAAATCCTAAAAATCCCAAATTACTCCACATATTCATATATCGATAATCAGGAAATTAATGACTCATTGACCAAATTTATGAAAATTGGAATTCATTTGGTGGCCTAATCATTAAACCTTAATTCTTTTATATATAATTTTTTTTTCTCAAAAACTAAATTTAGAAAATTTAGAAGTGATTCATAAGATTTGATAAAAACATAAAATCAATTGGACTTCACTTTAAATAAACCCAAAAACATTATATAAATTAAATCAATCAAAATTTAAATCTTAAGTTAAAGTCAAACCTTAGTCAAAGCTAATCTTAAAAATGAAATCAATATAAAAAATTCTTAAACTTTAAAGTCAAACCTTGGTCAAAGTTAAACTTAAAAAAGAAATCAATATAAGAAATTATTAAAGATTAAAAGGTGATAGAAATATCTTGGAATAATGAGGTCATGCATTAGAACCACCTAATACCTTAGAATCATACCCACATTACTCCGATTATCAGTACATGGCCCACACACAAGTCGTCCATTCCCCATGATTTGGATTCCTTATTGGAGTAAATAAATATCCTGATCTTGTCTCATTTTGGATGGTTATGTAATTGAGTATAGGAAAGACTACTGGAGAGTAAGAGATCACAAACTCTTGCGAGAAGAGCATCCAAGAAACAAAGGAGATCCCTGAGGTCAATTTCAACTTATTCTTGCTTTGCAAATAGTTGCATAAAACCCATCAAAAGCTAATCCTCCATAAAATCCATATATTTTTTGGTTAGATAGGATTAGTCATCTTGAGTGGTTAATATAACAAGTTTCCAATCAAAAAAATATAAATAACACTTAACCTCCCTCCATTTACAAGAATTATACAGACAATTTAATAGGAGAAATGAAAATAGGAGTGATTTTACACACAAATTATGCTTATTGCAACAGAAGTGGCAATGAGTCCACAATGCCTAGCTTATTATGCCTATATGAAAAGTGCATTCTGTACATTTTAGAGTTTTCAGCAGGACAGTACATGGATGCCTACACTATACAATGCCACTCTTAGAGTTTTCGGTAGGACAATACCTGGATGCCTACACTATACAATGCCATCCTCATCTGTGTGTTAAGAGATGAATCCCATGGCTGAAACAAACAACACTCTGCAATCTTTAACCTTTGGAAGAAGAGAAGCTATATATATCAGTTAAAGCTTTCCCGGAAGTACCATTGAAGTATAAAAGCTATCACAAGAAATGATATGAAGAAACTACAGAATCTTTGGCTGGTCCAATAGGTGCCTTGGTTACGCAAGTTCAGGTTATTGGAGCCCCCAGGCCTTCTTCTGCCTTCGTGCCAGAGTTCCATGAAACTGAAATCGTCCTTGCCAACAATACTTTTTGCATTCAGACCACAAATTTCACAAAGCCTGCATTTTAAATGACAGTAAATATTTCATTCATATAAAGAAGAAAATGTGATTTCCATTAAATAAACATAAAACACGAGCCTTCGATATTCCACAAGTCATAAAAAGTAAAATTTTCAAATGTGGAGGAGAAGCGTTACAGTGTGATTCTTATTAAAAAATGCTGACAAGCAATGACAATGCACTCAAAATAATCGGAAAAGTTGGCACCAACTAGGATATGATTTTACGTCCAAAAAGACCTTCATAAATTTAGATTTCGTTTGGCACGGTTTTCTTATTGATTTTTAAAACAACTTTCTAATATAAAAACTTAAATTTTTTATTAGAAATCAGCTTTAAGAAGCAGTAAGAAAACCACCTCAAATGAAACTATAGTATTAGAAAGTTATGACCACAAGGTATCTCCAACAAAGACAAATTTAGAAAGACAGATAAATTTATCCACACAAATTTTTCACCATTCATCACAAATGTTTAATGATTACGATTTAAAGTATAAACATTATAATCCATGTAAAAATGGCAAGATGTGTAAGGACAAAATCTTCTAAAAGAATAATCTTCCCTATTACCTCTCTAAATAAATAAATGTATATAATTAATGGAGCTCCCTTCAAAAAGAATCATGAACTGGAGCTCTTTTCAACCACGTCATCCGGTAAGATAGCATGAACAAAATTACATTGAGTTTAGCAGTATTATCATATAGGACATAAATGGCAATATTGATGTCTGAACCCCAAAAAATTTTATTTTCAAATACATTATAGTCTGGATGTAAAAAATTTTAAAAAAGCAATGTCATCTAGGCTGATGATAACAAATTGTTGTATCAACCCTAATGTCAATAGTGTTAAACCATAAACATCGTTTCAATAATGCCTACTAGTTGACAAGACATGATCAAAAAATATGTTTCCCTTCATAATTTTTTTTAAGGGATCTAAATTATTCAAAATAATAATATTTACTCATTTTAAAATTTATCCTCCCCTCCAACCAATAGAATGTAAAGTAAAGAAAACAAAAGGGAAAGTCATGGTAGTGAATTGACGCTTAACACATAGACACTTCATGAAACTTAGAAAATATCAAAATAGTAGATGAAATGCCAATAGTGGAATGAAATGCAAGATCTAATTTGGTAGCTAGATGGTACATATAATAGAGAGAGAGAGAGAGAGAGAGAGAGTTATGGGTAGTTCAACCTAAACTTTGAGAGCTGAAAAGTCAAAACATAGAAGATGAAGAAGGATGTTTATGAATCACTATCATTAGCCTTATTCCAACTACTTAACTCGGCTTTATCAATCTTTCTCCACTCATTTTTATCAAGGGCTGCATTTAATGTATAAAGTCTTTATTTGCAATTTCTAAACAAATTTGGTTCACTCTTAACTTTTTAGTCTTTTTTTTCAAATTTTAAACAATTTTGGATTATCTATGTGCCTTATTGTTGCACCTTTTGATGTTTCTTGTACATGTCCAAATGATTACATCTATTTCCTATAACCTTATCCACAACGGATGCTACTTACACAGCCTCTCTAATAAAACTATTCCATGTTACATCGAACATATTCATATTATCATACTCCTTTCTATAACACTTAATTGAGTTATTAATAAATTATTTTTTCAACTCTCAATGTAAATATAATATAATTTTCCATACTATCATTTTTGTAAAATTTCATTTTAAATGCTTGTAATATTCTTATATGACATAATTCAACATTTTCTTATTGTTTGTTGCATATAATAGCATAAAGATATCAAAATCATAACGTGTACTATATCCGGGTATTGATCCTCACATATTATTATTTGAAGATTAATATGCCCACATCCACTATAATCAAAGCTTTATCTGGTAAATCCTTTCTTCATTTCTTTTACTTTTCAATTAATTTGGATATAATATATCACCGATAAATATTATGCCATTTACATATTGCATATGTAACTTCTCAATTTGAATATATATTTTTAAGCACCTCTTTTGGATTGGTAGAAAAAAGATTAGCTTGAAATTCTGTTGATTAATTGTGTTGCTATTGTGCAATGTTCGATAAAAGAATATTGTCACCGCTCTACTCTCATAGATATGGATATGTTGACCTCTAGTGTGTTTTCTATGATTGAAGCTTTGGAGGAGGTGCACGCGTGCAATGTAGTACCTTCAGCTCCAAGTTTCCTGCACAGATCAATATCTTAAAATTGGGAATTTGAAAAGAAAAAGAGGCAGATTAGCATTACCAAATTCAGCCTTTCTGATCATTCAATGGAACTCTACTGAGATTTTGAACTGTTCTTTCACTCCACAATTTATTTTAATACAAAACGTTCTCATCATGCATGTATATAATAACTTACTATCTACCTTCCACTAGCACATTTCTCAGTACACACAAAATAGAAGTTTATTAACAACAATAGCAACAACTTCAAGTCTTTACTCCAATATGTGGGGCCGGCTACATGAATCGTTTTTCTTCATTGTGCTATGTCAAGAGTCAAATTCACATTTAAATCTAATAAAGAAAAGTCATTTCTAATATTTTCTAACCAAGCTTTCTTAGGTCTACCTCTACATTTCTTAACATGAGTCCAATCTAATACATCTACTCTCCTAACCGGGTCATCGGAAGGTCACCGTTTTAACACTGTCGTCTCAACTCCTAGATGAGAAAAATGGAGGGTGTATTAGATAGTCGACAACCAGCATAAAACTTGTCGAATAATGATTTACAAGTTTATTAACAAGATAAGTAATTTAATTACCCAAGGGAACACAATTTACAATAACAATAAGCTATGCAAATTCTAGAATAAAAAATAACCTACAAGAAAATCATCAACCTCCTTACTCCAACTATTACGTGGCGGCTTCATAAGAACTCATTTTCTTTGCATGCACAATAAACAAAAAGCTTATGAGCGGCTTCATAAAAACTCATTTTCTTTGCACGCACAATAAACAAAAAAGCTTATGAATATATAAAGCAAAGTGGAAATGTCTCTCTTATGATATACTAGCAAAGTACAACATCAGCTATATAAATTATTCTAGTCTTTCCATCTGCTACTCAACATCGTTATTTCAGGTTAGGGAAAACATAACGAAAGAAAGTCACCATTTGAGAAGAGTAAAGGCATTGCCTTGCACAATTTTTAATATGTTCTTCGGGTATTATGGTCTTTGCTATCCAGTTATTACAAATAGATACAGTTTATTGAAAGTGTAATACCTGGTCATTTTGCCAGCCACAAAATCAATGGTCAATGATGTATACTAATACAACAACAACAAAATTTTATCCCACCAAGGGGGGTCGGCTACATGAATCATTTTTTTTCATTGTGTAATGTTAAGAGTCAAATTCTCATTTAAATCCAATAAAGAAAGGTCATTTCTAATATTTTCAAACCAATTCTTTTCAGGTCTACTTCTACGTTTCTTAACATAAGCCAAATTTAAAACATCTACTCTCCTAATAGGGTCATTAGAAGGCTACCGTTTTACATGAACAAACCATGTAAGGCAACTCTCTCTAATCTTATATATGGCATGAAAACTAATTAATATGCTAGGAGATAATTGGTATGAAGGACCACATGAGATCATGCATAATACAGCAAAGGGAGAAAAGTAAATCCCAAGTATATAAGGAAGAAAAAAATGATAAACAAAAGCCAAAAATTAAAAAATCACGAGGACATATCCCAATTGTTAAGGGAGACTAAACCACACAAACATACATATCAGTAAAAAAATCAAACATGATGCTTTGGTATAGACTTTCATGCAAGAAACGCCTACCTTTTAGACTAAACAAAAGAAATTCTACCTGTATGTTACCTTCTCAACGGCAGATAGATTATAACCATACGACTTGCCATGTGACGAATCGTTATAAAATGCTAACATCCTATGCTTGTCTGCGAAGTCGACTAAAGAATTAGTATATTGGAATGTGGAATATTATAGCCTGATAATAACTAGACATACCTTTCTATAAAAACAAAGATTAAAAATAATGTCAGAATATTAAAAATCATGATGATTAATTCGCTGCAGCTTTAGTAGCTGCAAGCTCATGCATGCCCCCTAGACTTATTTAATCAACAAAATTAAATCGGGTATGCTCATATATTATGTTCATATTTAATTATTAGTTTAAGTATTCGTCTGGAAAAACAAAACCTTCATGTTTAGTGTATTCTCATGAGTCAAGTTATGGGGACTGGTCATGCTATTATCCAGGAATTAAAAAGAAAAAACAAACTAAGAATGAGAAAGGAGCAGGATGAGAATTTCCAAACCAAAAAAAAAAAAAAACATATTATTTGTAAAATGTTAATTATCTTTTCTTTTTATCGGATTCCAATTTTCTAGGAGAAAAATCCCCATGTGAAAATTACAAAAAACCTGAGGGCTTGTATTCTAGAGAAGAAGTGACCAAAACTTTATAATTCATTGTAGCAATGCAATATCACCTTGGCATTAGGCCAAGTAAGAAAATGAAAAGTACGAATAAAATTATTCAGCCATATCTACATGATCGTGCACAAGTTTCAAACAGCCACACGACATCATTTTAACCTCCTAAGAAGCTTAATCCCTCATTGACCTTTGTATCTGATATGGTGGGAGTAGGGGAGCAGAGAGGCTGGTCCAACCCTGCCAGCTAGCTAGGGTCGAATTAGCCCTTGGGCTGGGCAGAACTAAGGGGGAATTTCGGCCCCCTCTTGTGAGGCCGAACAAAGCTATAGATCATTATGAAAGAAGGTTAAGGGGAAGTTATTTGGAAAATTTTTAATTAGAATTGAGGAGGATTTAAGGGGAAGTTAATTAGGAAAATTTTAGATAGAATTGAAGGAAAGGAAAATTAATTAAGGGAACAAGGGAATTAATTATTGTTTTAACTTCAATTTGATTTCAAAATAAGAGAGGGAATTAATTAAGGCAGTAAAGTTGTTTGGGAGAGAAATAT